ACCACAGAGGTTTTCCAATGCCTCGCAAATAAGGGCACCTATTGGTAGATTAAAAAATAAAATAAAAAGCAGACATTGAATATCCCTTTGAGCATGGTGAAGTTGTTAATTACACTTTGGATGGTGTATCAATACACTCAGTCACTACAAAGATACAGGCGTCCTTCCTAACTCAGTTGCCGGAGAGGAAGGAAACCTCTCAGGGATTTCACCATGAGGCCAATGGTGACTTTAAAACAGTTACAGAGTTTAATGGCTTTGATAGGAGAAAACTGAGGATGGATCAACAACATTGTAGTTACTCCACAATACTAACCTAAATGACAATGTGAAAAGAAGGAAGCTTGTTTGCAATATGGCACTAAAGTAAAATGGCAACAAATACAAAGCGTTATGTTCGTGGCAAATCCAACACAACACATCACTGAGTACCACTTTTCATATTTTCAAGCATGGTGGTGGCTGCATCATGTTATGGGTATGCTTGTCATCGGCAAGGACTAGGGAGTTTTTTAGGATAAAAATAAATGGAATAGAGCTAAGCACAGGCAAAATCCTAGAGGAAAACCTGGTTCAGTCTGCTTTCCAACAGACACTGGGATACAAATTCACCTTACAACAGGACAATAACCTAAAACACAAGGCCAAATATAAACTGGAGATGCTTACCAAGACGACATTGAATGTTCCTGAGTGGCCTAGTTAAAGTTTTGACTTAAATCGGCCTGAAAATCTATGGCAAGACTTGAAAATGGCTGTCTAGCAATGGTCAACAACCTTTTTTTTTTGACAAAATGTTAAAAAAAGGTATAATCTTTGTAAATGATTTCATCGGTAGGACTGGTGGAGTTATGTCGCACATGCAGCTAACAAAAACATATGGAAATGTCTGCTCTACCCAAAATTACAACCAAATAATTGCAGCCTTACCGCAAAAATGGAAGAGGAAAGTGGAAGGAGGAGAAAGTAAGGAACTTGTCTGTTGGCCTTGCATTAAAGAACATAATTGGTTAAGGAAAACTGTGATAAATAAAAAAGTATATCCGTTTCATTTAAGGACCAAAGGATTGACAGCCGTCCCATATAGATAGTTGGGAAGAGATTTTTGACGTACCGATCCCATGGCATAGTGTTTATGAACTGATACGCAAAACGACACCGGATTCAAAATTTAGAATCTTTCAATTTAAATTATTATATAAAATTCTTGCTACCAATAGAATGTTATTTATATGGGGGATACAATCTTCCCAGCTCTGCAGATTTTGCTGCGAAGAGACAGAATCACTAGATCATTTGTTTTGGTACTGTCCATTTGTAGCTTGTTTTTGGACACAGGTCCAGGAATGGCTAAAGGATTGCAATATTTACCTGGAGCTAACCCTGCAGATAGCACTACTGGGTGATCTGAAAAGTCATAGTCAATCGATCAATAACATAATAATTCTATTAGCAAAAATGTTTATTTTCAATTCACAAACTGTAGAAACAATGAGAATAGAAAGGTTCAGAACTTTTTAAAGACATCACAGTACAGTTGAAATATATATGGCAACTAGAAATCCTATATGGATGGTGTTAAAAGATCGATGGGAGGTGTTGAATGGAATTGAAGGATGGGACTAATAACAACTAACAACAAACAATAACAAGATAACTAATAATGTAGGCACGCTGTGTCCATAATAAGTGTATGGGTTGTAGGTTGGGAGCTTTTGTGAAGGAGCACAGTTAGAAAGATATGGCATATAGAAGCAAACCGGATGGACATCATGAAAATGATCAGAGAGGTTGAGAGTAGAAGATGTTCAGGAGAAAGAACAAACAAAATGTAATTAGTGACTGTACATAAAATGTAGATAGTGGGTATGGGCTGGAAGTAGAGGCCTAGGCGTTGTTGTTCACTAGTTTACTACAAGTGGGGAAAGGGTGGCGGGGTTGGAAAGTAATAAAGGGGAATATATATATATATATTTTTTAAGTATGTGTATGTATGTATGTATGTATGTATGTATGTATGTATGTATGTATGTATGTATGTATGTACACTGCTCAAAAAAATAAAGGGAACACTTAAAAAACACAATGTAACTCCAAGTCAATCACACTTCTGTGAAATCAAACTGTCCACTTAGGAAGCAACACTGATTGACAATACATTTCACATGCTGTTGTGCAAATGGAATAGACAACAGGTGGAAATTATAGGCAATTAGCAAGACACCCCCAATTAAGGACTGGTTTTGTAGGTGGTGACCACAGACCACTTCTCAGTTCCTATGCTTCCTGGCTGATGTTTTGGTCACTTTTGAATGCTGGCGGTGATTTCACTCTAGTGGTAGCATGAGACGGAGTCTACAACCCACACAAGTGGCTCAGGTAGTGCAGCTCATCCAGGATGGCACATCAATGCAAGCTGTGGCAAGAAGGTTTGCTGTGTCTGTCAGCGTAGTGTCCAGAGCATGGAGGCGCTACCAGGAGGGCAACAACCCAGCAGCAGGACCGCTACCTCCGCCTTTGTGCAAGCAGGAGCAGGAGGAGCACTGCCAGAGCCCTGCAAAATGACCTCCAGCAGGCCACAAATGTGCATGTGTCTGCTCAAATGGTTTTTGCAGGTTTTCCTACTTACAAAGCATGTAGAGGTCTGAAATGTTTATCATATGTACACTTCAACTGTGAGAGACGGAATCTAAAACTAAAATCCAGAAAATCACATTGTATGATTTTTAAGTAATTAATTTGCATTTTATTGCATGACATAAGTATTTGATCACCTACCAACCAGTAAGAATTCCGGCTGTCACAGACCTGTTCGTTTTTCTTTAAGAAGCCCTCCTGTTCTCCACTCATTACCTGTATTAACTGCACCTGTTTGAACTCGTTATCTGTATAAAAGACACCTGTCCACACACTCAATCAAACAGACTCCAACCTCTCCACAATGGCCAAGACCAGAGAGCTGTTTAAGGACATCAGGGATAAAATTGTAGACCTGCACAAGGCTGGGATGGGCTACAGGACAATAGGCAAGCAGCTTGGTGAGAAGGCAACAATTGTTGACGCAATTATTAGAAAATGGAAGAAGTTCAAGATGACGGTCAATCACCCTCGATCTGGGGCTCCATGAAAGATCTCACCTCGTGGGGCATCAATGATCATGAGGAAGGTGAGGGATCAGCCCAGAACTACACGGCAGGACCTGGTCAATGACCTGAAGAGAGCTGGGACCACAGTCTCAAAGAAAACCATTAGTAACACACTACGCCGTCATGGATTAAAATCCTGCAGCGCACTCAAGGTCCCCCTGCTCAAGCCAGCGCATATCCAGGCCCGTCTGAAGTTTGCCAATGACCATCTGGATGATCCAGAGGAGGAATGGGAGAAGGTTATGTGGTCTGATGAGACAAAAATAGAGCTTTTTGGTCTAAACTCCACTCGCAGTGTTTGGAGGAAGAAGAAGGATGAGTACAACCCCAAGAACACCATCCCAACCGTGAAGCATGGAGGTGGAAACATCATTCTTTGGGGATGCTTTTCTGCAAAGGGGACAGGACGACTGCACCGTATTGAGGGGAGGATGGATGGGGCCATGTATCGCGAGATCTTGGCCAACAACCTCCTTCCCTCAGTAAGAGCATTGAAGATGGGTCGTGGCTGGGTCTTCCAGCATGACAATGACCCGAAACACAGCCAGGGCAAGCAACTAAGGAGTGGTTCCGTAAGAAGCATCTCAAGGTCCTGGAGTGGCCTAGCCAGTCTCCAGACCTGAACCCAATAGAAAATATTTGGAGGGAGCTGAAAGTCCGTATTGCCCAGCGACAGCCCCGAAACCTGAAGGATCTGGAGAAGGTCTGTATGGAGGAGTGGGCCAAAATCCCTGCTGCAGTGTGTGCAAACCTGGTCAAGACCTACAGGAAACGTATGATCTCTGTAATTGCAAACAAAGGTTTCTGTACCAAATATTAAGTTCTGCTTTTCTGATGTATCAAATAATTATGTCATGCTATAAAATGCAAATTACTTACTTAAAAATCATACAATGTGATTTTCTGGATTTTTGTTTTAGATTCCGTCTCACATAGTTGAAGTATACCTATGATAAGAATTACAGACCTCTACATGCTTTGTAAGTAGGAAAACCTGCAAAATCGGCAGTGTATCAAATACTTGTTCTCCCCACTGTGTGTATGTATATATATATATATATATATATATATATATATATATATATATATAAAACATGGGGGATTGGAAGTGATGCAGACAATTACATTGATGGAAGTTACAATCTATCTGCAATATTAAGGTGATCTACCCCCCAAAAAAATGAAAAATGAATTTTAAAAAAGATTAACAAAAGAGAAACACATAATACAATTAAAATAAACAAAAATGGTCAAGAACCAACTTGAAAGAGCTTGAACTATTTTTTAAAGAATACTGTCCAAATATTGTACAATCCAGGTTTGCAAAGCTCTCAGAGACATACCCAGAAAGACTAACAGCTGTAGTTGCTGCCAAAGGTGATTCTAACATGTATAAAAAAAACTAAAAAAAACACAGATTTTCTCTCTTCTCGCTAATGGCAAATGGTTGCATTCTTGTTAATATGTTTTCCTGTTTTTAGGTTTTATGAATAAGCTTTTAATCATATCCCTTATTTGCACAAAATACTTACTTGCCAGCTTGCACTACATCTCAACCACTAGCATATGTGCGTAAGCATGGTCTAAAGTTTGTGGGGAGGTGAGCATATTCTCACGTCAAGTATATATTTTTTAAATAAATGCTCACTTTTGCATGAAAACTGGCGTACTGCACATTTTGGGCTATATTTTGTACGTGCGCAAGGTTTATAAATGAGGCCCCTGCACCTACGAGTGTGAGGCTATCAGATATATAAATGTGCAATTCTCAAGCCGACCTGCGAAAGGCAGCAATACGCAACACAGCGTCCATTCTGCGGGAAATTCACAGGAAGAAGAAGAAGAAGAAGAAAAGAAGAAGTTCAACTTCCACAGCAGCGTCTTTAGTCTTTCCTTTTCCGGTTGCGGTGATAGAGGGTATGCGGCCTAAATTTCGTCGCTTATTTTTAGTCAAAGTAATCTGATGTAATCTGTGTCTATATAATATGAATATCGTATTTCAAAGACTATATTTCCAGTGTTAGAAAGACGTTAACACGTTGATGATAATATTTCATGTTATCCTAGTACTTTGTTGGATTCGACCCTTAAGTATCATGCCTTCAGTAACATTAGCCCAATGCAGAAACGACAAAAAAATTGCCGCTGTAGTCTTGCTGCATTAAGTTCTTGTGTTTAAATGGCCAAACTAAGGTGTCTTCTTCCACGTAAAATCATATGTTTTCATCTTTGATATTTGATAAATGTGTTAGGTAGCTAACGTAGCTTACTTGGTTACACTGTCTTGCGCAGTAATGTTGACTCCATCGGCAGGCCCCGATACCATTGCATAATGAACAAACTAGCTAGTTAAATATCTAGGTAGGTAGTTATGTAATCAATCGGTGGAAGACGTTATACTACTGACCTACAATCATGTATTTACAGGTATCAACATGGTCCAGCGCCTAACTTACCGTCGTAGGTTGTCCTACAACACCGCCTCCAACAAAACTAGGCTGTAAGTAGCTATAGCTAGCTAATTACATTGCAATTCCCATGGCTTTTTGCCATTCTTGGTTACTGCAGTGCCTGGCTTTTCTCGTGATCTAAACGGTTTGATTGTTGATAGTAAGTGGTACTGACTTGCACGTGGTTGTGTCTAGTTAGTTATTGATTTTAAATAGGAAGTAGTATTGGAAAAATGAATTATGTAAGCATGTTTTCATCCCTCAAAATATTGTGGCCAACTTTGCATAGTGTAATGTGTATTCCCCCACTTACAGGTCCCGGACTCCTGGTAACCGCATTGTGTACCTGTACACCAAGAAGGTGGGCAAGGCACCCAAGTCTGCATGCGGAATCTGCCCTGGTAGACTGCGTGGAGTAAGTATTGTCCCATGTACATCTTATCCCACTGCATAGTATACAAACTGGTATTTTTCAGGTCTGTTTCTGTTGTGGTGAAAATGCACTACATGACCAAACGTATGTGGACACCTGCTTGAACATCTCATTCCAAATTCATGGGCATTAATATGGAGTTGGTCCCCCCCTTTTGCTAATATAACAGCCTCCACTCTTCCTCGAAGGCTTTCCACTAGATGTTGGAACATTGCTGTGGGGACAACCTTCCATTGAGCCACAAGAGCATTGGTGAGGTCGTGCACTGATTTTGGGCGATTAGGCCCACATTCGGCATTTCAATTCTTCCCAAAGGTGTTCGTTGAGGTCAGGTGTCTGTGCAGGCCAGTCAAGTTCTTAAACACTGATATCGACAAACCATTTCTGTATGGACTTCGCTTTGTGCATGGGAGCATTGTCATGCTGAAATAGGGAAGGGCATTCCAAAAATTGTTGCTACAAAGTTGGAAGCACAGAATCGTCTAGAATGTCATTGTATGCTGTAGCATTAAGATCTCTTCACTGGAACTAAGGGGCCTAGCCCGAACCATGAAAAACAGCCCCAGACCATTATGCCTCCTCCACCAAACTTTACAGTTGGCACTATGCATTGGGGCAGGTTAGGTTCTCCTGACATCCACCAAACCTGGATTTGTCTGTCAGACTGCCAAATGGTGAAGCGTGATTCATCACTCCAGAGAAGGCGTTTCCACTGCTCCAGAGTCCAATGGTGGCAAACTTTACACCACACCAGCCGATGCTTGGCATTGCACATGGTGATCTTAAGCTTGTGTGCGGCTGATCGGCCATGGAAACCCATTTCATGAAGCTCCCGACGAACAGTTATTGTGCTAACGTTGCTTCCAGAGGAAGTTTGGACTCTGCAGTGAGTGTTGCAACTGAGAACAATTTTTACGCACTGCACGCTTCAGCGGTCCCGTTCTGAGCTTGTGGCCTACCACTTCGTGGCTGAGTCGTTGTTGCTCCACTAATTTGAAGGGGCATCCACGCCTCCCGAGTGGCGCAGTGGTCTAAGGCACTGTATCGCAGTGCTAGTTGTGCCACTAGAGATCCTGGTTTGAATCCAGGCTCTGTCGTAGCGGGCCGCGACCGAGAGACCCATGGGGCGGTGCACAATGGGCCCAGCGTCGTCCAGGGTAGGGTAGGGGAGGGAATGGCCGGCAGGGATGTAGTTCAGTTGGTATATGGGTTGTCACTGGTATAATGTGGCCTTCTCGTTTTACTCAGTGCTGATCTGGAGACTAAGGGTGCTTCAACCAAAACAAATGTCTGCCGTAGTGGTGTGGGTGGGAAGAAATTATTTGATAAGAATGCGGTTTTACATTTTCAATTGGTTGGCAGATACATCATTACTTTTCTGACACTGGGCTCAACAATACTAAGCCCCAACTCACTGCTTCCACTGACTATTGAGTTGCTGTGTTTTTACATATCAGTTTGTATGGTTTTGAAGGCGCCCTAAGGATGGGTGAAAGCGGTACGTTGAATGCCCAGCCCATCAGCTAGGCTTATTGGCTTTCTCATGCTTTTCTTACCTGCAGATGAAGGAAAGTAAGGCAAACGATGGCTCTATTTGAATTCTTTTGACTTTTTTCTTCTTGTGACTACCTTTTTAACTATAATAATAATAATATGCTATTTAGCAGACGCTTTTATCCAAAGCGACTTAGTCTTGCGTGCATAATTTTTTGTTGTTGTGTATGGGTGGTCCCGGGGATCGAACCCACTACCTTGGCGTTACAAGTGCCGTGCTCTACCAGCTGAGCTACAGAGGACCAAGGGAAGTGAGAAGAGGGTGGCATTTAATCAAACAATCTTTAAGGAGAAGTTCACTTTATTTGAACCTAATCTATTTCAGCTGTTATAGATGTGCCCAGACACTTTTGTAAAGGTGTTGTTTTTGGGTAACTTACTCCTCCAGCGATATACTTCCTCATGCTCGTTCAGCAGTTGTAGGGGCATAACATGAGCAAAGGCTCCAAAAACACACAAATACATTGTTTAAAACTGTAACACTCTCAGTATACTGATGTAGATATGTACTGTTGTACACATGGATTTGTCATCCCCAACTTTGTATTCCATTTTGAGCGACTCCAGTGATCTCCTACCAACTGTGCTGCACGGGCTACACAGAAGCAGCACAGCTGGTAGGGAAAACTGCTAGTCGCACACAATGTAATATAACGTTAAGGATAGAAATCGGAATGACAACTTGACATGTTTCTCAAACAAGTGAGATTGCAAAAAGTGTCTGGGCACTTCTAACATGCCATAACTTTTGATATTTTGTTCAAATAAAGTCAACTTTTCCTTTAACAATGGCTGTGGCATTTCACTTTTTCAAAATGTCTTCTCCCATATCGTTTCTCCTGAACATAAACCTGGGTTCAGGTTTTGTTAAATCTGTGCTCACAAGCATTTCTTTGTCTTAAAGATCCGGGCGGTGAGACCCCAGGTCCTGATGAGGCTCTCAAAGACAAAGAAGCACGTCAGCAGGGCCTACGGCGGTGCCATGTGTGCCAAGTGTGTGCGTGATAGGTAAGAATGTATCCCTAACACCGCCTTCTGAAGAATCTGTCCCAAGTGTTGTGTATATGTCAGGTAAAATGTGCAGTTTATGAGATTAATATCTAGCTAAATGTGAAGGGTGAATGACTACAACTACCCATACTAGCGTACTACATAAACTGCATACTATGTACTCATCGTCGCATACTATTTAGCCCGTACCATTTAGTAAGAAGTGGCAGCAATTTAAGTAGCGGCTCCTGACTGCGGGTGGATTTTTCCAAATTTAACAGACATGCATCGCATTAACCAGAATGATAATGGCTAATTTCAATTAATTTCTCTAAACTGAATATAATAGGAATGGAGTTGTAGGCCTACTCAGGCTGGTTATACAGTGAGGGAAAAAAGTATTTGATCCCCTGCTGATTTTGTTTGTTTGCCCACTGACAAAGACATGATCAGTCTATAATTTTAATGGTAGGTTTATTTGAACAGTGAGAGACAGGATAACAACAACAAAATCCAGAAAAACGCATGTCAAAAATGTTATAAATTGATTTGCATTTTAATGAGGGAAATAAGTATTTGACCCCTCTGCAAAACATGACTTAGTACTTGTTGGCAATCACAGAGGTCAGACGTTTCTTGTAGTTGGCCACCAGGTTTGCACACATCTCAGGAGGGATTTTGTCCCACTCCTCTTTGCAGATCTTCTCCAAGTCATTAAGGTTTCGAGGCTGACGTTTGGCAACTCGAACCTTCAGCTCCCTCCACAGATTTTCTATGGGATTAAGGTCTGGAGACTGGCTAGGCCACTCCAGGACCTTAATGTGCTTCTTCTTGAGCCACTCCTTTGTTGCCTTGGCCGTGTGTTTTGGGTCATTGTCATGCTGGAATACCAATCCACAACCCATTTTCAATGCCCTGGCTGAGGGAAGGAGTTTCTCACCCAAGATTTGACGATACATTGCCCCGTCCATCGTCCCTTTGATGCGGTGAAGTTGTCCTGTCCCCTTAGCAGAAAAACACCCCCAAAGCATAATGTTTCCACCTCCATGTTTGACGGTGGGGATGGTGTTCTTTGGGTCATAGGCAGCATTCCTCCTCCTCCAAACACAGCGAGTTGAGTTGATACCAAAGAGCTCGATTTTGGTCTCATCTGACCACAACACTTTCACCCAGTTCTCCTCTGAATCATTCAATGTTCATTGGCAAACTTCAGACGGGCCTGTATATTTGCTTTCTTGAGCAGGGGGACCTTGCGTGCGCTGCAGGATTTCAGTCCTTCACGGCGTAGTGTGTTACCAATTGTTTTCTTGGTGACTATGGTCCCAGCTGCCTTGAGATCATTGACAAGATCCTCCCGTGTAGTTCTGGGCTGATTTCTCATGATCATTGCAACTCTACGAGGTGAGATCTTGCATGGAGCCCCAGGCCGAGGGAGATTGACAGTTCTTTTGTGTTTCTTCCATTTGCGAATAATCGCACCAACTGTTGTCACCTTCTCACCAAGCTGCTTGGCGATGGTCTTGTAGCCCATTCCAGCCTTGTGTAGGTCTACAATTTTGTCCCTGACATCCTTGGAGAGCTCTTTGGTCTTGGCCATGGTGGAGAGTTTGGAATCTGATTGATTGCTTCTGTGGACAGGTGTCTTTTTATACAGGTAACAAGCTGAGATTAGGAGCACTCCCTTTAAGAGTGTGCTCCTAATCTCAGCTCGTTACCTGTATAAAAGACAACTGGGAGCCAGAAATCTTTCTGATTGAGAGGGGGTCAAATACTTATTTCCCTCATTAAAATGCAAATCAATTTATAACATTTTTGACATGCGTTTTTCTGGCTTTTTTTGTTATTGTCTCTCACTGTTCAAATAAACCTACCATTACAATTATAGACTGATAATTTCTTTGTCAGTGGGAAAACATACAAAATCAGCAGAGGATCAAATACTTTTTTCCCTCACTGTAGGTAGACTATCACGTTCAACCTATACCGTAGCCCATCTATCCTAATTTAAAGACTGAAACCAGACGCAGATAACATTTAAACATTTATTAGTAAAACCAAAGTGCTGTAACGTACATAAATTAAATCTAATTGCCTAGTACACACAAACTTTTCAAATGTTCAAATCAAAAGGCTATTGTACAGAAATGTGGACAGTCAGGTGCATCACAAATTCAGAACCGCTGGACAGCAACCTGATTTAACTTAAGCACTGTCCATTTTAGATCAGAATGACTGTGAAGGCTTGATCCATTAATTAAATAGGTAGCCTAGCCAACAACAAACGATCCTTATGTTAAAAAACGAAAGGCCTGATTAACATGACATCACCACGTGTCATGCTTGATTGCGTTTTCCTGCTATTCGTTGATTTCGGTAGTGCCTCCCCATATCTAATTGATCAGCTGTTGTAAAAGCTGACATAAGTATGACATCTGGGCATTTAAAGTATACTCAAAAATAATTGGTAGACTGAGTCTGTTCTTTCGACCAATCTATTGGTTGAAATTGTTTAACGTATTTTTCCCATAGACACACCCTATGTTTTAATAAAATCAACTATAAGCACTGCGCTTGTCTGATGCTTTAAGCGCACTGTTTAATTAAGACACACACATGACTCGGGAGCCCGATGGCCACACTGTAAAAAAAAGACGGCGAATGCCTGTGACTGGTGCATGTTGTCTCTTCCATGCTGCAGCAAAAAGACACCACAGCACAGCAAGTGTCTATTGCGCTGTCCATGCTGAAGCTCCAACGTAATTTCAGCCATTTAGTTTCTTTCTTGTTTCCCTTAATGCCAAGAGTGTGCAAAGCTGTCATCAAGGCAAAGGGTGGCTATTTGAAGAATCTCAAATATAAAATATTTTGATTTGGTTAACACTTTATTGGTTACTACATGATTCCATATGTTTTATTTCAGAGTTTTGATGTATTCACTATTCTACAATGTAGAAAATAGTAAAAAAAAGAATTTTTGACCGGTAGTGTGTGTATGTATGTATGTATGTATGTATATATATATATATATATATATATATATAAACTGACTGAACAGGACAGAAACCAGACACATGCTCATTGCTCACATGGAGCATGTAAATGGTATGAAATAAACCAAAACTTGTTTCTCAGAAGTGTAGCAGGTTGTGAACTCTGCAAATAACATTTGTACTCTGAGAGAGAGACCAGTACATTACTGTATTACTACATGCATTACATTAACATACTTTTTTTTTTCAAATGACCGGGGTTAACGGTAAATTGCCTGTTTTACAAACGGTAGGTTACCACATGAACATTCATAAAAGTACATTGTGGGCCGACACTGTATGGCCTAGGCTACTATTCTACTTTGCGGGGATAGCAGGGTGGCATATTGGCCAGGACCGGGCCTGATTAGCGTTGACTAGTCTATAAATGTAAGAAAAGTTTATCAAATTATACCATGCCAGGTTGGAGCAGATTGGAGCATTCCATTTGACACATTAGCAAAAAAATTTAATCACGTGCCATAGCCTATAGCGCTCTACACCGCTGCGCATCAGTTGGAAAAATGTAGACAGATTTAAGTTAGCAAAACAATTGCTTATCATTAGTAAAAACTCTCGCTATTAGGTAGTTTATATACATGAAAATGAAGTTTATAAAAATTACACCTAAAATGAATGTATGCCTATTTTAACTGTTTTTTGACAGTTATTTTCATGACTGTCTTCATCCATAGCCGTCAGTTACATGGATATTCAATAACCGTCACAGCCCTACTCCTGCCCCATGGGTGGTTCTGGCTGACAGGGTTTACTTGCATATTGGACTAACTATGCCAGAAAGATGTTATTGCTTTCAAGGCACCAGCCAGCCATAGTTTAATTTCTATCCTTAACAGTTTAAGTGCATTTTGTTTGCTTCAGCAGCTGCTGGTTAGCTTAGAATGCTCTTGTAAATTTAATGTGCTAGGATTAAAAACTACATTCTTTACAGGTAAGTCCAATCCTAATGACATCTCTCTCAAACTGATCAGTTGTGATTTTAAGTAGATGGTGGTTACGTTTTAGCTGTTTTTTGTCAAAGAATGTCACTTTGAGATTTTTCCTGGGGTGCACTGTGAAAAGCAGTGAAACTTCCTATGGGCAAAAAATAAAGATGTAGGATGTTTCTACAATCTGCATTGGTCTTTGCAACATGCATTCATTGGATTTTTCGTAGTGTTGACATTTGGTCGGTATTTGTAAAGTAACCATCAATGGCATGTCCTGAACATCTCAAAGTTAACTGATCCACTAACCTTCACCCTTCTGTCTACCACAGGATCAAGCGTGCTTTCCTGATTGAGGAGCAGAAGATCGTTGTCAAGGTCCTTAAAGCACAGGCTCAGAGTCAGAAATCTAAGTAAATGTGTATTTGTACTGCAACATAACAAATAATTAAAAATGTGTCGTGTCCTGACTCATGGTGCAACTGTCCATAGTATTCCTACATTTGAAGTTTGAGGGCAGTGTTTCTCGATGTGGACTACCATTTTGTAGTTTTGAATGAGACTGAAGTTTGTAAACTGAGTGGACTACTGAACATTGTCCTATTGACTTTGAAAGTGTTGACACTGACATTACATTTAAGGAATTGTTTTTACTCAAGCTTAGGCAGATTACATGAAATATTAAAATGGTGTTGCATGCGCTTGTAATTCTGACGGTGAGCAGGCTTTTTAAAAAACATATTTACTAATGTTCAGTGGCTGTTGCGGCTATCAAGCTGGCTAAGTGTTCTATAGGCTTTACATTTTTGGAATACTCTGGCTACCCACAGGATTCTATATAGCAGAAAATCTTCATACGGTTTGAAATATTCCACCAGAGAATCTGTGAAAAGATGGAAGGGCTACCAAAGACATTACTTTAGGGCTACCTATCAATGGACAGAATGGTGTCTCAGCTATTTGTGATTTTGATAGGATTTCATCCAATATACCAGAGGATGATGAATGATATAAATACTAACAGAGTATTACCAAAGATACTTTAACCTCTTTAATCTGTCATTAGCTACCCTTTAACTTTTTTTTTTACCCTTTTGTGGTCAGTGCTATCTGGGATCCTTGGGATGTCCTTACCCTAAGCATTGATGTGGTGGTGAAGGAGTCAATCACAGACGTTCCATTGACCAGATTGGTGCACATTCAACAATTCTTATTTAACAAAGTGGATATTCTGCAAATCTGTTATTGATGTATTGTAACAGGCCCACAATGTAGTTAAGTCCGATTTTGCTGTTTTTCGCTGCATAACATAGAAGTTGTCCCTTTTCAGGTTTAAAAGTGACTGCTAAATGCTAACTCCCGTTTAAGCTGGTTAGCATACAGCAATCGGTGGCGGTAGTGAAACGACTAATGCAGTTGATTGGTAATGATGACATGAACATGTGTTGGGGTTGACATCCATACAAGCATCAAATGATTTTTACCTCAACATGGTGTGAAATACAAACAATATCCTAAATGTAGGCAAATTTTTCTGGGGGCCAATGAGGCGACTTGCGAATTTGAACCACTGATGGTTGGTGGCACTTTAATTGGGGAGAACGGGCTTGTGGTTATGGCTGGAGCAGAATGAGTGGCCATTATTATGAGCCGTTCTCCCCTCAGCAGCCTCCACTGATTTGAATATGTGGCAAGAGAAAAGATAATTCGCCCTTATTAAACCCCGCCAGATCATTTTCCATCAATGGATGTCGTTTTTAACTCGTTTGACAGCAATAAGGCCCGAGGGGGTGTGGTATATGGCCAATATACCACGGCTAAGGGCTGTTCTTAAGCATGACAGAACGCAGAGTGCCTGGATACAGCCGTTAGCCGTGGTATATTGGCCATATATCACACCCCCTCGGGCCTTATTGCTGTCAAACGAGTTAAAAACGACATGAAAAATGTATGCACTCACTAACTGTAAGTCGCTCTGGATAAGAGCGTCTGCTAAATGACTAAAATGTAAATGTATAGCCCATGATAGGCCTACATCTCTTTCAGAAAGTCAACAGTAGCCTAGGCAAGATGTAAACTGAACGATTTAATAGTTTGCTTAGTTCAAATTAACAGACTAATTTATTCAACATGATTAGATTTCGAGGTATGAAGTGCTTGTTTCCCAATTGTCTGCTGGAATAGGGTACTGAGGATGGGGTCATAATTTAAATCACTGAATTAAATATTAATAATATGTATATGAACTGAATATGCTTTTTTTAACCGGTAGCCTAATCTGACTACTGTTGCGTCAATCTAATGCGTTCTAACTGATTGGCAATTGCGATAGAGCTTTGATAACTTCCAATTTAATTAACTAAGCATGTTCATTAATAATTTCATAATAACAAGGCTACATCAAACTGAAGTTATAGGCTATTTATGAAATTGATTTCCCAGCTCCATGTAGGTTACACAAGTGGCACAAATTGATTTGCAATTACTCCAGTGATATCGTCATTTCAACATACACTACTGTTCAAAAGTTTGGGGGCACTTAGAAATGTCCTTGTTTTCAAAAGAAAAGCTATTTGCTTGTCTATTTAAATAACATCAAATTGATCAGAAATACAGTGTAGACATTGTTAATGTTGTAAATGGCTATTGTAGCTGGAAACGGCTGATTTTTAATAGAATATCTACATAGGCATACAGAGGCCCATTATCAGCAACCATCAGTCCTGTGTTCCAATGGCAGGTTGTGTTTGCTAATCCAAGTTTATCGTTTTAAAAGGCTAATTGATCATTAGAAAAGCCTTTTGCAATTATGTTAGCACAGCTGAAAACTTGTGCTGATTAAAGAAGCAATAAAACTGGCCTTGAGACTAGTTGAGTATCTGGAGCACCAGCAATTGTGGGTTCGATTACAGAATCAAAATGGCCAGAAACAAATAACTTTTTTTCTGAAACTCGTCAGTCTATTCTTGTTCTGAGAAATGAAGGCTATTCCATGCGAGAAATTGCCAAGAAACTGAAGATCTCGTACAACGCTGTGTACTACTCCCTTCACAGAACAGCGCAAACTGGCTCTAACCAGAATAGAAAGAGGAGTGGGAGGCCCCGGTGCACAACTGTGCAAGAGGACAAATACATTAGTGTCTAGTTTGAGAAACCGACGCCTCACAGGTCCTCAACTGGCAGCTTCATTAAATAGTGCCCGCAAAACACCAGTCTCAACGTCAACAGTGAAGAGGCGACTCCGGGATGCTGACCTTCTAGGCAGAGTTGCAAAGAAAAAAAAAAAACATATCTCAGACTGGCCATTAAAAAGAAAATATTAAGATGGGCAAAAGAACACAGACACTGCACAGAGGAAGATTGGAAAAAATTGTTATGGACAGACCAATGGAAATTTGAGGTGTTCCGATCACAAAGAATAACATTTGTGAGACGCAGACCAAATGAAAAGATGCTGGAGGAGTGCTTGATGCCATCTGTCAAGCATGGTGGAGACAATGTGATGGTCTGGGGGTGCTTTGGTGGTGGTAAAGTGGGAGAGTTGTACAGGGCAACGCCATGCCATACCCTGTGGACGGCACTTGATTGGAGCCAATTTCCTCCTACAACAGGACAATGACCCAAAGCACAGCTCCAAACTATGCAAGAACTATTTAGGGAAGAAGCAGTCAGCTGATATTCTGTCTATAATGGAGTGGCCAGTACAGTCACTGGATCTCAACCCTATTGAGCTGTTGTAGGCTGCAGGTAGCTTCGTGGGTAAGAGCCTTGTGCCAGTAACCGAAAGGTCGCTGGTTCTAATCCCCGAGCTGACTAGGTGAAAAATCTGTCGATGTGCCCTTAAGCAAGGCATTTAACCCTAATTGCTCATGTAAATCGCTCTGGATAAGAGTGTCTGCTAAATGACTAAAATTTAAATGTTGTGGGAGCAGCTTGACCCTATGGCATCAAGCCAATCCAATTTGTGGGAGGTGCTTCAGGAAGCATGGGGTGAAATCTCTTCAGATTACCTCAACAAATTGACAACTAGATTGCCAAAGGTCTGCAAGGCTGTAATTACTGCAAATGTAGGATTCTTTGACAAAAGCAAAGTTTGAAGGACACAATTATTATTTATATTACAAATCATTATTTCTAACCTTGTCAATGACTACATTTCCTATGCATTTTGCTATATTTCATATTCAATCTCATTTCATGTATGTTTTCATGGAAAACAAGGACATTTCTAAGTGACCCCAAACTTTTGAACGGTAGTGTATGTATTGTATCAAATGGTAGCCTACAATGGCATATACATTAATAGGCTACTTGATTGCCAACAGAGAGGCAAATGTATAATTATCCACATTTAATGTAAGTTTCATTGAGGACTTTTCCCATAAAAAGAAGCACGCGAGGGAGTTCCATAACTTCCATTTCAATGTTCCACTCGGCCAGCCCCCGAGACCCATGAACTGAGCATGCATAAAACACTAAGCTTGATACAGTTTTCTTTACGCTAAATCAACATTCGAATGCAGTTTAAACCACCTCCGAGCGAATGTATGTAGTAATGCGCTATAGTGCGCCCAAAGTCGTTTTCCAGTGCTTTGTTGCCATTATTTATTGATGTGCATAAATTCTAGCATATTAATCTGTTTTATGGAAAAAGGGTTGGAAATTGGTGTCTCAATAATGACAATCTAAATCGCCTACCTACAGCTCACGTGACTCAGGCAATAGTTGTAGCTCACTCTCACTCAGCAACAGCCTGCCTCACTGCCTGACAGTCAGCAGCAGGTCACAGTGAATTATATACATTTTAAGAGAAATGCCATGGCGGCCGTGGTGCAATTTAGAAATAGCCCAAAAATCCGCAACCACTACATTTTCACCCGCAACATCGTTTTGAAAGTAAACTGCGTGGTTGCAACTTGGCAACACTGATAGGGGTAGATAGCGAGGATCATTTTGTTCTAGAACCTTTGACTATCGCACAACAACTACGTCACCACTACGGTCTTATCAGATAAATGACACATTTAAAAGTAAAATAGACTTTTGGTCACATTTTGTCAGTGTTCGAGTACAGTTATTTTGGATATTACATTTTTCGATTCATGAAATCCATTCTCTCATTCAAATTCTGGCATTGGCTTATTAAGTGTTTATCTACGAACTAGATTTTCGGTACTTCCTGGACACGTCGACGTAGCAGCCAGAAACCAGAAATCTTTTTACCGAAAGAGTCAATTCATATTGAATTATGGAGACATTATACGGTCTACCTTTCGCAGTGTTGGAATGTCCAAATATAAAACTCAAAAAGCCATCATGGTTGCACATGCCGTCGGCTATGACAGTCTATGCGATCGTTATTGTTTCGTACTTTCTCATCACTGGAGGTAAGTTGTCGAACACTGCTGCTAGCTAACGTTAGCTAGCTAATTTGCTGTAACAGATGCTTAATAAAGCCTTTGGCTGTAACGTTATGAACCAAGTTACATCAATCTACTAACTAGCTATGTGTTAACGTTATTCAACCATCACGATTATTGTATGCAGTTAGTGATAGCTGGGTTTCTCAACGTTAGTCTTAGTCTCCACGATTTACATTGGAGTTGACTGGTGATTGGTGTGGTTGGACTGGTACTCCGTCACATAAAATGACGTTTATATATATAAAACAATGTGTGTAATTGTGGGCTATTGTTTGGGTGCTGAAAATAGTAGTTTTTTTTAATTACTAAATATTATGTGACATCAGAGCTCCAGTCCGCCCACACCAGTCGCTGCTTAACTCCATTTTAAATGGTGGAGTTGAGTGAGTTTCATCAGCTACTTAACTCCAGGATTTGTAACTCATGTAAAATGATTTAGTTAACATACACATTGAGGAAAGACTCTGCCAGTACATGCAGTCAGACCTATACAATCAGCTAATCAGTGTTGCAAAAATGAAGGGATTTCATAAGAACACAGGGAGATAGCTAAATTAACATTACAAACCTCCGTTTTGTGCCAACCATCAACCGAATTTGCTTTTTCCAAGCACACCCATTCTGTTAACATCTGACTCGACCTGTGATCTGTTCCTGCAGTCATGGTAACAATTTTTTTGATGTAGCTAGTGAACTACTTTTTTAAAGTAACTTTAGTTAAACTTTAGTTGACTCCTGAGTAGCGCAGTGGTCTAAGGCACTGCATCGCAGTGCTAACTGTGCCACTAGAGATCCTGGTTCGAATCCAGGCTCTGTCGCAGCCGGCCGCGACCGGGAGACTCATGGGCGGCGCACAATTGGCCCAGCGTCGTCCAGGATAGGGGAGGGAATGGCCGGCAGGGATGTAGCTCAGTTGATAGAGCATGGCGTTTGCAACGCCAGGGTTGTGGGTTCGATTCCCACGGGGGGCCAGTATAAAAAAATATGTATTCACTAACTGTAAGTCGCTCTGGATAAGAGTGTCTGCTAAATGACTAAAATGTAAAATGTAAATGTAAACAAACTAGCTATAATTCTAAGGGTAGCTTTACTGTGTAGCTCAATGTCTTTCAGTGTCAGTGAAGTAATTGGTAGCTTGGTAATTTTGACTTTAATTAATCAGGCTGTAATACTTGCTTAATTGGTATAAACAATCTGAAACTAATACCTGCAAAATTGTGTAAATGTTCCGTACAAGCTAGAATTTTGAATGCAATTACATTTAAACATACTCTACCAGTATCTGTGCGGTTTGTCCTTCAGCTGCTCGAAATTTGAGACAATATCTACAGGGAAGTATTGTTTACCCAACTTTTTGAGAGCCCATAGGTACAGTGCATTCGGAAATTATTCAGACCCCTTGACTTTTTCCACATTTTGGTTACGTTGCAGCCTTATTCTAAAATGGATTACATTGTATTCCCCCCCCCCCCCCCCCCCCCCCCACTCATCAATCTACACACAAGATCCCATAATGACAAAACAAAAACAGTTTTTTAGAAATGTTTGCACATTTATTAAAAATAAAAAACGGAAATATCAAATTTACATAAGGATTCAGACCCTTTACTCAGTACTTTGTTGAAGCACCTTTGGAAGTGATTACGACCTCGATTCCTCTTGGGTATGACGCTACAAGCTTGGCACACCTGTATTTGGGGAGTTTCTTCCATTCTTCTCTGCAGATCCGCTCAAGCTCTGTCAGGTTGGATGGGGAGCGTAGCTGCACAGCTATTTTCAGGTCTCTCCAGAGATGTTTGATCGGGTTCAAGTCCGGGCTCTGGCTGGGCCACTCAAGGACATTCAGAGACTTGTCACAAAGCCACTCCTACGTTGTCTTGGCTGTGTGCTTAGGGTCATCCTGTTGGAAGGTGCCAAGCCAAATTTCTTCAGCCACCTGAGGTTGAAGAGGCTCCATTGCGCCTTCTTCACCACACTGTCTGCGTGGGTGGACCATTTCAGTTTGTCAGTGATGTGTACGCCAAGGAACTTGAAGCTTTCCACCTTCTCCACTGTGGTCCCGTCGATGTGGATAGGGGGGTGCACCCTCTGCTGTTTTACTGAAGTCCACGATAATCTGTTTTGTTGACGTTGAGTGAGAGGTTAATTTTCCTGGCACCACACTCCTAGAGCCCTCACCTCATCCCTGTAGGCTGTCTCATCATTGTTGGTAATCAAGCCGACTACTGTTGTGTCGTCTGCAAACTTGATGATTGAGTTGGAGGCGTGCTTGGCCACACAGTCATGGGTGAACAGGGAGTACAGGAGGGGGCTGAGCACGCACCCTTGAGGGGCCCCAGTATTGAGGATCAGCAAAGTGGAGATGTTGTTTCCTATCTTCACCACCTGGGGGCAGCCCGTCAGGAAGTCCAGGACCCAGTTAAACAGGGCGGTGTTCAGACCCAGGGCATCAAGCTCTGTCGTAGCCGGCCGCGACCGGGAGACCCATGGGGCGGCGCGCAATTGGCCCAGCGTTGTCCAGGGTAGGGGAGGGAATGGCCGGCAGGGATGTAGTTCAGTTGGTAGAGCATGGCGTTTGCAACGCCAGGGTTGTGGATTTGATTCCCACGGGAGGCCAGTATGAAAAAACAAAACAAAAAAAGTGTATGCACTCACTAACTGTAAGTCGCTCTGGATAAGAGCGTCTGCTAAATGACTAAAATGTAATGTAAATGTAAATGAGCTTGGAGGGTACTATGGTGTTGAATGCTGAGCTATAGTCAATGAAGAGCATTCTTACATAGGTATTCCTCTTGTCCAGATGTGATTGTGCAGTGTGATGGCGATTGCATCGCCTGTGGATGTATTTGGGTAGTAAGCAAATTGAAGTGGGTCTAGGGTGACAGAAAGGTAAGGTAGAGGTGATATGATCCTTGACTAGTCTCTCAATGCACTTCATGATGACAGAGGTGAGTGCTACGGGGCGATAGTCATTTAGTTCAGTTACCTTTGCTTTCTTGGGTACAGGAACAATGGTGGCCATCTTGAAGCATGTGGGGACCGCAGACTGGGATAGGGAGAGATTGAATATGTCCGTAAACACACCAGCCAGCTGGTCTGCGCATGCTCTGAGGACGCGGCTAGGGATGCCGTCTGAGCCGGCAGCCTTGCGGGGGTTAACATGCTTAAATGTCTTACTCACGTCGGCCACGGAGAAGGAGAGCCCACAGTCCTTGGTAGTGGGCCACGTCGGTGGCACTGTGTTATCCTCAAAGCGGGCGAAGAAGGTGTTTAGCTTGTCCTGAAGCAAGACGTCGGTGTCTGCGACGTGGCTGGTTTTCCAGTCTAAGGTCCTGAGCGCTCTGGAGCAGGTTTTCATCAAGGATCTCTCTGTACTTTGCTCCGTTCATCTTTCTCTCAATCCTGACTAGTCTCCCAGACCCTGCCGCTGAAAAACATCCCCACAGCATGATGCTGCCACCACCATGCTTCACCGTAGGGATGGTGCCTGGTTTCCTCCAGACGTGATGCTTGGCATTCAGGCCAAAGAGTTCAATCTTGGTTTCATCAGACCATAGAATCTTGTTTCTCATGATCTAAGAGTTCTTTAGGTGCCTTTTGGCAAACTCCAAGCGGGCTGTCGTGCCTTTTACTGAGGAGTGGCTTCTGTCTGGCTACTACCATAAAGGCCTGATTGGTGTAGTGCTGCAGAGATGGTTGTCCTTCTGGAAGGTTCTCCCATCTCCACAGAGGAACTCTGGAGCTTTGTCAGAGTGACCATTGGGTTCTTGGTCACCTCCCTGACCAAGGCCCTTCTCCCACGATTTCTCAGTTTGGCCGGGTGGCCAGCTCTAGGAAGAGTCTTGGTGGTTCCAAACTTCTTCCATTTAAGAATGATAGAAGCCACTGTGGTACCCTTCCCCAGATCTGTGCCTCGACACAATCCTGTCTCGGAGCCGTACGGACAATTTCTTCGACCTCATGGCTTGGTTTTTGCTCTGACATCCACTGTCAACTATGGGACATTATATAGACAGGTGTGTGCCTTTCCAAATTATGTCCAATCAATTGAATTTACCACAGGTGGACTCCAATCAAGTTGTAGGAACATCTCAAGGATGATCAATGGAAACAGGATGCACCTGAGCTCAATTTTGAGTCTCATAGCAAAGGGTCTGAATACTTATGTAAATAAGGTATTTACTAACATTTCTAAATCTGTTTTCGCTTGTCATTATGGGGTATTGTTTGTAGATTGATGAGGAAAAAAAGTAATTCAATCAATTTTAGAATTGTACTGTAACGTAACAAAATGTGGAAAAAGTCAATGGGTCTGATTTACTTTCCGAATGCACTGTATATGGTTCGGTTTAGCGCCGAGGTAAAGTGAGTTTTATATTGGATATTCGGTTTTTCTCTCCTCAATAGCGATTGAACCAATCTTGCCATGACAATGAAAATAGTATATTCTGAATCAGGGGAGGGAGAACAATCCACACGTTTTGTGATTTTTGTGTATTTTTGTATAAAACATAAATCACTCAAAAGGTGTGGATTGTTCTCCCTCTCCTTATTCAGAATATACTATATTCAAGGTCATGGCATGCTTGGTTCAATAGCTACACTGAACAAAAATATAAACGCAACATGTTAAGTGTTGGTCCCATGTTTCATGAGCTGAAATAAAAGATCTCAGACATTTTCCATACGCACAAAAAGCTTATTTCCCTCAAAAAAATTTGACAAATTTGTTTACATCCCTGTCAGTGAGCATTTCTCCTTTGCCAAGACAATCCATCCACCTGACAGGTGTGGCATATCAAGAAGCTGATTAAACAGCATGATCATTACACAGGTGCACCTTGTGGTGGGGACAAAAGGCCACTCTAAAATGTGCAGTTTTGTCACACAATGCAACAGATGTCTCAAGTTGAGGGAGTGTGTAAATGGCATGCTGACTGCAGGAATGTCCACCAGAGCTGTTGCAAGAGAATGTAATGTTCATTTCTCTAACATAAGCCGCCTCCAACGTTGTATTAGAGAATTTGGTAGTACGTCCACTCAGCCTCACAACCGCAGACCACATATATGGCGTTGTGTGGGCAAGTGGTTTGCTGATGGCAACGTTGTGAACAGAGTGCCCCATGGTGGCGGTGGGGTTATGGTATGGTCAGGCATAAGCAACAGACAACAAACACTATTGCATTTTAGCGATAGGCAATTTGAATGCACAGAGATACTGTGGCGAGATCCTGAGGCCCACTGTCGTGCCATTCATCCGCTGCCTCCATCACCTCATGTTTCATCATGAAAGTATGAAAAAATATATAAAATAAATAAATGTATGCACTCACTAACTGTAAGTCGCTCTGGATAAGAGCGTCTGCTAAATGACTAAAAATGTAAGAAATGATCATGCACAGCCCCATGTCGCAAGGATCTGTACACAATTCCTGGAAGCTGAAAATGTCCCAGTTCTTTCATAGCCTGCATACTCACCCATTGAGCATGTTTGGGATGCTCTATATTGACATGCACGACAGCGTGTTCCAGTTCCCACCAATATCCAGCAACTTCGCACAGCCATTGAAGAGGAGTGGGACAACATTCCACAGGTCACAATCAACAGCCTGATCAACTCTATGCAACCGTGATGCAGCGCTGCATGAGGCAAATGTTGGTCACACCAGATACTGACTGATTTTCTGATCCACGCCTCTACCTTTTTTTTAAAGGTATCAACAGATGCATATGGGCCCCGTGTAGCTCAGTTGGTAGAGCATGGCGCTTGCAACGCCAGGGTTGTGGGTTCGATTCCCACGGGGGGCCAGTATAATTTTTTAAAATAAAGAAATGTATACACTCACTAACTGTAAGTCGCTCTGGATAAGAGCGTCTGCTAAATGACGAAACAATACTTTCCTGTGGATATTTTGTGTCAAATTTTGAGCAGCTGAAGGACAAACCGCACAGAAAACCGGTGGAGTTAAGTTTAAATGTCATTTTATTCAACACTATATACCAATTGTGTATTACAGCCTGATTAATCACACTAGGTAATGTTAAACTATATTCTCAGAGTAGCTTCCCCAACACTGCGGCTAATAAACCTTGAGTCGTTTATTAGCCGATTTGAATAGGCTACGTATAGCAAACCAGCAAGCCAGCTCAGATGGTCTGGGCTAGCATTGCACCCTCTTTTGCCCTCGCACATCACGTTTACCATGCCAATTCATATACTATGCCAATGCATAGCTAACTATTGATTGTATTTCTAGTTACTTTAGCTAAATATTTCCAATGGCTTTCATCGTGTCGCTCTCCAATCTGCAGGTATCATCTACGATGTCATTGTGGAACCACCTAGTGTGGGTTCAATGACCGATGAACATGGGCACCAGCGGCCAGTTGCCTTTTTGGCATACAGGTAAGTACGCAGCCTCTTTGCCAGTGTATGCTGTTCCTGCATTGTCAACGCTTGGGGCCATCATTTACACCATTCATTATCATAATTATCTGCATTGTATTGCCAAAAATTGTAAGGGTAGTCAGTAGTCATAACCACCTTTATTTGTTCTCTTTCCCATGAAGAGTGAATGGCCAGTACATCATGGAAGGGTTGGCCTCCAGTTTCCTCTTCACAATGGGAGGCTTGGGCTTCATAATCCTGGATCGCTCCAATGCCCCAAACATCCCTAAACTCAACCGCTTCCTCCTGCTTTTCATTGGTTTTGTAAGCGTCCTGCTCAGCTTCTTCATGGCCAGGGTGTTCATGAGAATGAAACTGCCGTAAGTACTCTTGTGAAGATTTAAAAGGGTGCCTCCAAACCAAAACACATTAAACTCATGTCCTTGGGGTGGGGAGAAATGTGCTACTTATCTGATGGACAGTGCAACACAACCCTAGGCCCTTCCCCAACGCACTGCTCCCATTGAAAACCATTACGTTGCTGCGTTTTTTACACATTTGTTTGTCTAGTTTAAAGGCGACCTAATCGTCACAACACAAGCAACACTCTTGATAGGATGGTTGAGATTGATGTTTGGGTTTTGGACTACCACTCAAAATATGTATCTCATTTGATACCACTCAATGAGAGGATATTCGACTCAAAATAGACCTGGGTTCCTTCAGTTCGATTCAACGTTTGCTACGTTGCGTGGCGTTTTGTAGTGAATTACATGTTTCCCCAAAATGGTGTGCACCATCCTTCAACAGCCTTTGGTGGGAGTGGCGAGGTGTGGCCTGATCAATATGGGTGTGACCATTTCAGATCGCGAAACACACCATACACATTCTCCCTCTGGGCCACCATAATCACACTGTTCTTCAACTAGTCGTTCAGTACAGTACTGTCTTCTTTCAACCCTGCTCAATCGTACTGAACGCACCAGTCTTCGTGACAGTGAAGTCTATTGCAGGACAACTCTCCTTTGAAATGTTGTAATGCATCAAAACACCAGATTTAAAAAGTAACTTAAAAAAATTATAATCGAATGCAGACATTCTCCTTAAAAGGATACTGTTGTAATATGATTTGGGTTGGAGCGTTTGTAAGGTGTTTTCGACCGGTGTTTCCCAAACCTCTCCTCGAAGTACCCCCAGCCAGCCTAGTTATTTCATGTATTCCAGAACCAGCACTGCTGATTCAACTAATCAAGGGCTTAATGATTTATAAGACCATTTGAATCGGCTGTGCTAGTTCTAGAAAACATCAAAGAAGTGGACTGGCTAGGGGCAAAGATGGTGGATAAATGAAGATGTCTTACTCAGGCAGTTTACCGTTGGAAAAAATGGGCAAGGTTCTTGTCTGTCTTAGTGGTCGTTCCCGCTCTCGCGTGAGCATGCTTTACCGCGTGAGCTCACGGTTCCTCCATAATATCTGGCATGCTCACACCAGAGAGGGCACACCCACTTACACAGACAATATTTTTTTCAATGGGAAACTGCCCAATAACAGCTGGCTATGGTCTACATATTGTCCCCCTCCCTGATCGCCCCGCCCTGCCCCGACCAGAAGAAATTAACCAGTGAGATGTCTCGCTTTCTCTACCGTCTCAGGCTGGGGGTATGCGAGGTTTGGGAAACACTAGGTGTTTCTCAAAATGCATACTACCATGCTCCCAGCACGCATATTGGAGCACAGGAGGGTCAGAGTATGAGTCCAAATCAAAGTGTGCGAAGCAGAGCACAGGGCACTTCTCGACTGCGTACTCCGTTTGTACATATTTTGGAGCATGCATCAATGCAATCTTCAACAGAAAGTATGGACAGAAATAAGAAGCAACCATGTAAAAAATTACGTAAATGTGATTGAAATCAAAATGTCTTAACCATTATTTGAGCTGAAGCGAGAGAAAATAAACTCAGACTTCAGAATGAAATATTGCCCAATCACATCACATATGTTGCTTGACTCCAATATTTTATATTGGTGCTTTAATAAATACATGTTGTGTTAATTTTGGCATGTTTACCTGCCTACAATACCCATGAGCTAGTGTGCGTAGATCACAAGCCCATAGTAATTTAATAGGGCTTACTGGCTAGCTAGCCAGATAGCCACGACGAATTGTTAGCTAGCTACCCACGAAGAATTGTCATCTACCTTGCATAACATTAGTTTTAGGTCATTTTTGCCTGTTATACTATCTAGTTAGACCATTTACTCAGTACTTTGTTGAAGCACCTTTGGCAGCGATTAAAGCTTAGTCTTCTTTGGTATGACGCTACAAGCTTGGCACCTGTATTTGGGGAGGTTCTCCCATTCTTCTCTGCAGATCCTCTCAAGCTCTGTCAGGTTGGATGGATGAAGGCCATTGATAAATGCCGAAACATCAAGCTTAAAAATAGTTGTTTAAATAAAATGAGTTTTTAATGGTGAGCGAGCGTTTCGCCTTTTCAATAATGAATTATTTGGTTGCACCTCGACTCACGTTGGTTGAGCGCCATCCACTTCTTTCCAAGGTACACTACATTACCAAAAGTATGTGGACACCTGCTCGTCGAACATCTCATTCCAAAATCATGGGCATTAATATGGAGTTGATTAATATGGAGTTGCTGCTATAACAGCCTCCACTCTTCTGGGAAGGCTTTCCACTAGATGTAGGAACATTGTTGTGGGGACTTGCTTCCATTCAGCCACGAGCATTAGTGAGGTTGGGCACTGATGTTGGGCGATTAAGCCTGGCTCGCAGTTGGTGTTCCAATTCATCCCAAAGGTATTCAATGGGGTTGAGGTCAGGGCTCTGTGCAGGCTAAGTTCTTCCACACCGACCTCGACAAACCATTTTGGCTGAGCCGTTGTTGCTCCTAGACGTTTCCACTTCACGATAACAGCAGTTACAGTTGACCGGGGTAGCTCTAGCAAGGCAGAAATTTGGAGAACTGACTTGTTGGCATCCTATGATGGTACCGCGTTAAAAGTCACTGAGCTCTTCAGTAAGGCCATTCTACTGCCAATGTTTGTCTATGGAGATTGCACGGCTGTGTGCTAGATTTTATACACTTGTCAGCAGCGGGTGTGGCTGAAATAGCCCAATCCACTAATTTGAAGGGGTGTCCACATACTTGTGTATATATCAATCAGCTATTTACCTGAACTGCTGACAAATATTTAAAAAGTGTTAATTTTGACTGCACGTGTTGGAAGCATACTCTAATCTGTCTCTACCTTTCCTTTATTTCCCTGCAGTGGGTACCTCATGGGTTAAAGATGGACAAAACACATTACCAAGACGAAGAAAGAAGGGCAAAGACAACTATAACTTGCACATTCACTGTTGATTATGGACTGAAGCTTCAATTGATTTAAGGCAGCCTAAACATTTATAACACAGATTTAAATTGCAAATTTAGAATTGACAGTAACATCGTTCCCTAGAAATAAGTATTTGACCATGTTTGAGTGACGTATTAAAGGCCAGTGCAGTCAAAATGAGATTTTCCTGTGTTTTATATATATTTCCAAACTATGAGGTTGTAATAATAAATAAATAAAATACTGGGAAATTGTGAAAATTATAATGCTGTTTTAGTGTAAGCTGTTTGAAAAGACTGCCTGAAATTAAAGCCTGTGTTGGTGGGATGGAGTTTTTGCGTGCCTGTCGACATTACCAGGCGGTATAAGTTAATACAGGGTTTCCAAACTTGGTTCTGGGGCCCGCCCTGGGTACACATTTCATTTATATGATGAGTTGGTCATTTGAATCAGCTGTTTAGTGCTAGGGCAAAAACCAAAATGTGGCCCCTGGACAGAATTTGGGGAAAAACTGAGTTAATAACAGTTTCAAACCTATAACAGCTAGTTTTCAGGTTGCATATCCCTTCCATTAGGGTTGTCCAATTAGGCCCCTCACTCAGACCACTTACAGATAGTATTAGCAAATTCTTGCTTGATAAATTGCTCTTTGATAAGAAGCTTTTTTTTTTTTTTTTTTACCAGTTTATTAGGGGAAAAAGTAACAATAAATAAGTAGACCAGAGCCAGCTGTTATTGTGCAGTTTCCCATTGAAAACAATGGTCAAGGTTCCTGTCTAAGTGAGCGTTCCCCCTCTCTCGTGACCATCTTTGAGCATGCTTTCCCTTGTGAGCTCACGCAGGACAGCATGCTCACGCAAGAGAGGGAACCTTGACCTGAAACCGAAGTGGAAGTGAGACACCCCACTCCCTTATTTTTTTCTGGCTACATAAGCAGACCAGACCCAGCTGCTATTGCATTGTTGTCAATGGGAGAACCACCCCGTTAAGCAGACCCGAACTGACAATTGTTTTCGGTGGAAACGGCCTTTATGCGACCTTTATTGTCCACCATCTTTGCTATTGCTATCCTGTCTTCAGTCAGAGAGGAAAAGGTGAAATGAGAGGGTTTACTCCGCCCAAAATTTGTCCATGAAAATAAAACCACTAAATGTTAATATCTAATTTGCTATGTAAGGCTAGGTTGTTACGAATGCGCTGATATAAGTGGCATTTCAGCATCTGAAAAAATAGACGTTATATCAGAGTTGTGCCTGTTCACACGCGTATCTGCCCTCTCATTGGCTAGAATGGTCCCACCTGATCTTGCCGCCTTGCCTGCCTGCCATTTTTGAGGACACGTATTTCCAATTTTAGAGTGGTGACTTGACTATTTTGTAAAAAAAATATATATAATATTTTCTTCAGTTTAGTAATGCAGATGGTCAGAAGATGTGGAGATAAAGCCACTATTCTTAGACTCTTGAGATCAATGATTTATATGTACACTAGATGACTGACAGGGGGGCGCTGTTTTCAAGCCACCGTGCCTCTACAATAACAAAATACTTAAATACATGTAATTGTAGTCCTTGATGGAGGGACACTCCATATATTATCCACAATGAATGGAGTTAAGAATCTGAACAGGCAGTAAATATGAGGTTGGGGTTATCGAAAATATATGTTTTGTAGACAAGGCATTCATTGTAAATGCCTTTGAACGTGTAGCAATTGTGTTTTTCTATTAGAAACTGAAATAAATGTTCTTTCCATAAAGTTTGTCCTTCTGTGATCATGCTTTCTAATATACAAGTAATATCCTTCTTCTTACTTAGATCCTCCAGAAAAAAAAAATATATATTTGTTTACCAAGTGCAATGTCCATATCCTGTTCAAGTCCTGTTAACATCTTACAGCACTTATTGACAATTTAACTCAAACGTTCCTGATCACCACTAGCACAGTTGGGATTGCAAATGTGTAAACATAACCGCTTTCCTGAGGTGGGTCTTTGGTTGGGTCTTTTATCTATTTTACTATGTCAATA